ACTCAAGGGGACAGGAGAGACAAGGGCAATGTATGTAACCTTAACGTTTGTGTCTCCATAATATGCTGAAATTAAAAAAGGAAAAGAACAAAAAAAAACCACTTGCCTTCAGGACAGGGTTATTGTGGAATCACATAAGGTAGTAAGTGTAAAAGCACTCTGGAAATTATAAACGGTTATACAAGTATCAGTATTAAAATATTTTCATTATGACTTTAAAGAAACAGTGTTATAATATGAATTGGTTTTGTGCTTAAGTCTTTCTTTCTAAGACTTTATTTTCAATTCTTTAAAATTTGCTCAGAAAAAAATCATTTTCATCAAGTATCTTTTTAGGAAGTGCCTTTTGTACAAAACACTCTGCAAAGTGCAGCCCAGAATAGAAAGGTGAATAGGATGCCTATAATCCTGCCATTAAATATACTGCCCTCTGAGGTGAATTCATGTACTGTTTAGTGATTGTTTTTTTCAAGGTAGTTACAAGTTCATTCAGAGGTTTTATAGGAAAAACATCATTTTTAAAAAGTTTTTCAGAAAAGTAAATAGTTCTTTTATATATGACAGTATTGATCTACAAAAAGAATACTAGTAACAGCTTAATTAGTGTATGTGTATTGAATTGTATTAATTATCACTACTACCTCATTATTTAAAATCTGAAAGAAATAGCAATTGAAAACCCCCAGAAATGTATTTATTTCCACTTATATCTTATAATGAATTGAAAACCTATGGGACTTTTAGATGGGCTTGATACTGAACTGTAGATATCAATTATACACACCTATCAGACCAAGAATATTTTGTGGTTCTCCTGGTCATACCCAAAGAAAGAAGTAATGAAACTAAAACAGGTGTTAAAAGAGGAGTTAAAATGATCAAGGGTAAAGAAATATTTTGAGGTTAGGCCAAAAATATGTGTTTATTCAATGTGAAAAGATGAAGGAGAAATGGAATGAGAACTCTAATTTTCCTACCTAATTATAGAAACTTTAAAATTAGGGGCACTTTTCAGAGCTTGAAATAGGCAACTTGAGTATAACTAGGGAAATGCTTCTTTTAAATGATTGAGAACCCACCAAGTTAATCACATTTGGGTACAAGACTATAAATTAGTTCAGAAGAGGTGACAGATCCAAGGTTTAATAGATCTGTTGAGATTGTGGGTCTTGCTTACTGGAAATGCCCACTAACAGATTCCTTTGTGCTTCCCAGCAAAGCATCCACTAGGCCTATCGATAGAGTTGACCCTGTGTGGAGGCAGTGAATTCCTGCTCATCCACCTCCTCTTTGAGGCTGCCCCAACTCCTCCCTCCCTAGGCAGTCAGTGTGCCACTTTGCTTTTACTTCTATCTTGTTTACTTCAGGGTATAGTATACCTACTTCACACCTAGCCTGAGATCCCCTTCCTTGGTGCCAGGGATCATATCTCTGTTTTCTCTGTACCTGTTTCTTTGTACTCTGTTTTCCCTAGTACCTGGCAAAAAGCAGAAACATTTTAATAAAGATTTTATTATTGTCTCACCTAATAGTGCATTGCTCAAGTTCTTTTCCAACCTCCCTATTCATGCATAAACCACACAGCTTCTTGTTGAAGTTTCCTAGCACAGCCAATTAGTGTACTAAGCTAGGCAAAGCATAGATTTTGTAGCCAGACAAAACCAGAATTGAGTCCTGTTTCCACCATTTACTAGCCATTACCTTCCTTGACCTCTCTGAACCTCAGTTTCCTATCTAGAAAGGTGGGATAATATAACTACACTAAACACTCAAGAATTGGGAGCTGCTGGTATTATTGTTTCCTTAAGTAATTAATTCACTGTATACTTTGTGGATGTTATAAAATGAAAATATACACCTGCCGTGAGGCCCTTACAGCTCAGAAAAAAAGGTAAGTAACCTATGGAGTGTGCTAGTGGTACAGGAATGGCATGGAGCACTTGAGGAGTTCACAGACCAACAAATGATGTATCCCTGGTCTTGTCTGGCCAAATTGCTTCCCAATCATTATACTGGCCACCTTAGTATTCACTTGATATAAGGTTTTTTTTATTTTAATCTTGTATTATTAATAAACTGCTACATAGATTATATATCAGCATAAGTAGTGCTAGATAAGGATAATAAAACTCAATAAAATTTCACTAACACAATTGAGTGAAAATAATAATTAGGTTTCTGTGATATCTGTTGACTTTTTAAAATATGTTAAAAAGCAATTCATCGGTATTTTTATTATTGCAGTTTCATAAGTCCAAAAGTTTAGAACTGGCTTTAGTAATTCAATAAACTTGCCATCACTTAATTTTGCTTTTGATGGTGTGCTGCGATCAGGGGTTCAGTGGGACATTTGAGACTAATTTCTTCACATCACCTCTTGCTTTCCAAGGCTTTCAAAAGGGGATGAAGAGAGAGTTAGCTTTGAACTAATTTCTAGATTTTTTTTTGGCTGCTCTGAACACATTAAAAAATCCTGAGATGAGTAGGTAGAAGGAAGTGGATTTGGTAATACCTCTTCAAGAATAGCATGGAAGATGAGGACTGATTTCTGCCTTGTGTCTGTTTTATCCCACTTAATCTCCACTTAATGTTTTCAGTGAAAGAATGCCAATAGCCTGACAGGCATAATTATTCAAAATTAATAATTACCCATAGTTCCTTCAACAGATGGTCAAACTGTGGCACATCCATACCATGGAATACTACCCAGTAATAAAAAGGAACAAACTATTAATACATGCAGCAACCTGGATGAATCACCAGAGAATTAGGCTGGGTAAAAAAGCCAGTCCCAAAAGATTACAAACTATATTATTTCCATAGCATCCATAAAATGACAAAATTATAGAATGAAGAACAGATTAGTAGTTGCCAGGGATTAGGAGGGTAGGGTAGGGTAGGAGGGAAATGAATGTGGCTATAAAAAGGCAACATGAGGGATCCTTGTTGTAATGGAATGTTCTATAGCTTTACTGTATCAATGTCAATTTCCAGATTGTGATATTGTACTACAGTTTTGCAAGATGTTATTATATTATTGGAGGAAAGTGGGTAAAGAGTACATGAGATCTTTGTTTTTTGTTTTTTACAACTGCATGTGAATCTATAATTATCTCAAAATTAAAAGTCAAATCAAAAATAGCCACAGTAATTCCACATGAACAGTAACACAATATGTGGCTTAAGACCCAAAACTTAATGTAACTAAATAGTGCTGCAAAAATCAGTAGCTTATATAGCAACTTTTTTTGCTATTATAAAAAAAAAACTTGGAACATGAGGACAAGAACAGAATGAAATATAAATAGGACAATAAAGATAACTACTATAATGCTTTTGGTGTATTTCATTCTGTCTTTTTTCCCGAGTTTGTGTATATGTTTTGTTTGTTTTTTTATCATAATTGGGAATACACAGTTTATACAGTTTTCCATTCTGCTTTCTTGAATTCTATATCATGAAGATTTCCCTATGTCTTTAACATTCTTAAAAAACAATTTTCATTTGGCTACATATTCCATTGTATGGATGTCCTAGGATGTATGTAATCATCCTCTTAGATTTACTTTACATTTTTTATGCTAAATATCCTTATACATAAATCTTCTATTTTTTCTTTAAGGTAGGCTTTTGTAAATGGAATTACTAAATTGAAATGCAGGAGCATTTTTAAGGCTCTTTGATATGTTATCAGATTGCTTTCTGGAAAAGTGGTACTGATTTACATTCTTGCCAACAAGTGCATGAGAATGGATGAGGTCTATGACAAGAAGAATTAGAAACAGCATAGAGTTCCAGAACAGAAAGATTTTTATCTTTATCGAAAATAAGGTTTCTCAACCTCAGCACTACTGATATTTTTATGCCAGAAAATTCTTTGTGGTGGGGGCTGTCCTGTAGAATATTTAGCAACATCTCTGGCCTCTACCCACTAGATGCCAATAGCAGCCCTCCCCCTACAGTTGTGACAACAAAAATATCTCCAGACATTAAGAAATGTACCCCAGGGAGTAAAATCACCCCTAGTTGAGAACCACTGATCCGAAGACTTAAATGTGCAATGAGGCATTTGTTCTTAAGTTTCTCTGGTATATACTAATGTTCTGAAGCCTGGCCTCTCAGGGTTCTTTTTCTGTGGAATGTATATGTGCATATTGTTTACAGAGTAAAATAAGCTGATCATTTCTTTAAGTCTGTATAAATGACTTTGTTACTCCTCAATACATATCTTTCCCTGCTGACACTTGCCTGGGTTCCAGGTTATAATAGGAAATTTAAAGAAAGTGATGGCACTTCCATTTACTTTGCCCTACAAAAATGATTTGTGTTGAAATTTAATATGGTATTTGGAAGTATCAGGCAGTATACCTACCCTTTGTCTTTGTCTTTTGAATAAGAAGGACCTAACAGAATGAGAATGACTTTGGTTCTCTTGACTTTGTATGTAAAGAAAAGAAAAAGGAAAAAAAAGAAAGAAAAAAAGGAATGGACTGGGATTTTTGTTAACTGAAGTTTGAGCCTTAAAAATCCTAAGAAGCCTATTTTAAACAGCAGGAGCTCCCAGTTAAAGGTTTGTCCTTCATATCTACAGCTGGCTTTACCTCCAGTTCTTGATGGAATACACCTGGGTAAAAGGCCACCCTTGTTTCTATATTTCAAAACATCCTGGGATCATGAAACCCATACTCTCTTCCTGACTTGCTGCACCAAGATCTTCTAATAGTTCACTTATAGTTGATGAATTCCCTAATTCAAATAAGATAAGCTTCAGTTTACCTTGAAAAACAAAGAGCACACAAATACATTGTTAAGAACATAAACTCACTGAAAATACTCTGTCCTTAAATGGTATGAAACTCATTTAAGTCTGTCCTTCAGTAAAGACATTAGCCTTTAATGTTTTGATGTTCATTGTTCTTAAGTGTAAGATTTAGGTTACAAAGGTTAGTTTGACATTGACTTTCTGTACTGGCTGTTTCTTTTCTGTTTGTCCCCCTTAGGAGCAGTCTCCCAAGTGCTGGACAGCCTGGAAGAGATTCACGCACTTACAGACTGCAGTGAAAAGGACCTAGATTTTCTACACAGTGTTTTCCAGGATCAGCATCTTCATACGCTACTAGATGTAAGTCTATCTTTTATTCTAGTTTCTTTGTAAATTAAATATTTAGCATAACTTTTTACTTTACTTGAATTTGCAGATATCCATCATAACAATCCTTTTTCAGTTGCCTGAAATCTTTGAAAAATGTGGAAAATCATCCATCATAGATTCATGGTTAAAATAAAGTGTATACATATAATACAAATGTGATATAGCCTAGCAAGCCACGGTGGAAAAAAATTTATAAGTTTATGTATGTAATGCATGCAAGCAGTATGTGAGTTTTAAAAAAAAAAAAAAAAAGTAGACCACAACCCTAATTTGCTGGAGTATCTTTATTTCTATTAGAAGAATCCATTGAGGTTAGCTGGGATTACTTTGATTGCCTTAAACATTGTTTTAAAACATTATGCCTTAAGCATGAGTATAGGAGAGAAAAAAACAAAGATATTGTGCAATGGGCTGAATTCCCACACACATTTAACATTGCTTGGTTTCATAGACTCAGTGTCTTTGCCTTAAGACATAAAAGTATATTCCAACATTAAATAAGATAGGCCTCACAGACAGCAGATTGGATTACAAAGAAAAAAACAGAAGCTGACTGTTCACATCTGTCTTCATTTTATTCACATTTTAAGTAAAATACATTTTTTCTTAGAGAACTTGATTAACTTCAGCAGTGAAAACTCTTGGGTGGTTCTGATGGTATTTTAGTATATGTTAATCTTTTTTACAAGAAAAACCTTCCCTTAATAAGAGTACGGTATTTGCTTTGGGATACCTAGAACTGTTTGGTGCTGAGTAATTCACCATATGATGTAAATGAAACTAAAACAAAATTTCCCAGAATATATTCTACAAAACATTGCTCTGGGAGGTAGCAATGGCTGTTGCCATGGTGGGACGGAGAAGTGAATCTTAAATTTATTGGCTAAATTATTTATTAACTAAATGAATTTGGAAATGCTACATTCTTTAGTTTCTTTATATAGATTCACAATGAGCATCAGTATATTGACAGCTCTGAGATGACCTGAAACAAAGAAACCTGTTTAACTTTGTTTAATAGCATTTCTCAAACTAATCTGGGCACAGAACTTTTATTCACAATCCTGTCGTGATCTGTTTTTGATAAGGACCAGCTTGGGAAAAGCTAAGCTAAGAGTGTTTCTTGCGTTATGTTGCAGCTTAATACTAAATGCAGTTGCAGGTATCTAACGGTTGCCTCTTTCCCTAAATTTGGTTGAATCAAATTAATCATTAGATTTTTGTAGTAAGTTTGGCTTTTTTATATAGTGTACATATTAATCAGGGCCAATTAACTCTGTAACAGGTGATCCTAAAATGTGAGTGGCTTAACAGAATAAAAGTTTATTTCTTGCTCACCTCACAGTCCAACATAGGTAGGGAAGGGAAATCTCAGCCACACAGTCATTCAGGGACCCAGGCTTCTTCCACTGTGTGGCTCTGCTATCTCCCAGATTCTTGGAATCTTTGACTACATCTTTTGCACCCAGCCAGCAGATGAAAGAAGAGAGAACATGGAGAATCTTGACAGAGTCAAGGTTAGAAATGGGCTATATCAATTTTGCCCACATTCCTTAGCAAGTACTAGTCACATGCCTACCTAGATGCAAGAGAGCTAGGAAATATAGTTTAGAAATGGGCTCAGGAAGACAAAGAACTGGGTCTTCTCTTTAGTGTAATTTATCTTAAGTAATTTGAGGACATTTCAGATTATGTTTATTTCAAATAGTTGTTACTTTCCTTGGGCATCAAAAAGCTCTTGAAATTGTTCTATTTTGTGAATAGCTTATAGCATTCAGATCTATAGCATATAGATCATTATCATGATCTTCTTCATCATCCTTTTTTTTTTTTTGAGACAGAGTCTCACTTTGTTGTCCAGGCTAGAGTGAGTGCCATGGCGTCAGCCTAGCTCACAGCAACCTCAAACTCCGGGCTCAAGCTCTTCTGCCTCAGCCTCCCAAGTAGCTGGGACTACAGGCATGCGCCACCATACCCAGCTAATTTTTTCTATATATATTAGTTGGCCAATTAATTTCTTTTTTATTTATAGTAGAGACGGGGTCTCACTCTTGCTCAGGCTGGTTTCGAACTCCTGACCTTGAGCAATCCACCCGCCTCGGCCTCCCAGAGTGCTAGGATTACAGGCGTGGTGCTAGGATTACAGGCGTGAGCCACCACGCTCGGCCTTCTTCATCATCCTTGTCGTGTTTACTATTATGGTTATGTGTTATTTGAATTAGAACTTGACCTCTAATGGTTGGCTATTTGTCTATTTTCACTGTCATTGCTTCATGTGTAATTGTGGATTTCCACAGAAGTCATACCTTTACTAGAACTAGTGAGGTATTTGGAAGAAGCTATAGCAGCGTGTGGAGATTTTGTTGATTGCAGTATTGTCAGTGGTTAGGTCATTGTCGAGTAGATTTACTGACTTTCTTCAGATCAAGGACCAAACAGACCAAAACAGCATTAACTAGTATAAATTTAAAGGCCAGAGAAATCCAAATTGGTTTTCAAAGTTGTATTTTTCTTACCAATTAACAAGGTACCTGAGCACATTAGCTTGAGGCTACAGGGGAGATGGAACATTGCTCGTTTGTACACAGAGGAGAAGCTATTCAGGCACAAACTAGATTTCAGACCGAGCCAAGCTGCCACTTACTCCCCGATGCCAAAGTTCTCAGACCTCACTGGAAACATTATTTGGAATTTTAACATTCATTTGAAACATTCTACCAAACTGCTGCACTGTTTGGTAGAAATTGTTACAATTTCAGAAGACATTCATAGATTTTAGTGAGGAAAAACATAATTAAATTCCTTTGCATTCTTACATTATAACCTAAAGAAGTGCCTGCATTATCAGCATCAGCCCTGTCAGTGCAGCTCAATTTGAAGAGGAACTGTTGGACTAACATGAACCATGCCCATTAAAAAGATCTTTGAGTTTTGGGAGCAGTACTACAGATGAACCCTCAGAACTCTCCTGAAATGACTATGAGGCCAAGTCCTGTGCAATGTTTGAAGGTGTGTGGTTCTGAATCTCCAAACTGAGCCATTTTTAATGAAGCTTAATCATCGTGAATCACATAAACCATCATAGAATGTGTCCTCATACTCTGCATCCCATAAATAAGCTTATTAAACTCATTTCACAGCTAAATAACATTAATATAGTCAGTAAGTCAAATTTAATATAGTCAAACTAATAATATAGTCAATAAAGAATCCAAGTGACAGCTATATAGAGAAATATAATCATTTTAAAAATGTTGAGGCCGGGCGCTGTGGCTCACGCCTGTAATCCTAGCTCTTGGGAGGCCGAGGCGGGCGGATTGCTCAAGGTCAGGAGTTCAAAACCAGCCTGAGCAGAGGCGAGACCCCGTCTCTACTATAAATAGAAAGAAATTAATTGGCAACTGATATATATATAAAAAATTAGCCGGGCATGGTGGCGCATGCCTGTAGTCCCAGCTACCCGGGAGGCTGAGGCAGAAGGATCACTCGAGCCCAGGAGTTTGAGGTTGCTGTGAGCTAGGCTGACGCCACGGCACTCACTCTAGCCTGGGCAACAAAGCGAGACTCTGTCTCAAAAAAAAAAAATGTTGAATACTTATGCATAAAAAAGGAACATGGCTATGACCAATTCTTAAGAAGAAGCTTTTACAATCTTAAGCAAACAACATCTGGAGGCATTACATTACCAAATTTCTAATAATACTACAAGACTATAGTAACCAAAACAGCATGGTAACTAGTATAAAAGTAGAGACATAGACCAATGGAACAGAATAGAGAACTCAAAAATAAAACCATCTAACTACAACCAACTGATCTTCAATGAAGCAGACAACTACATATACTGGGGAAAGGAAGCCCTATTCAATAAATGCTGGGAAAACTGGATAGCCACATGCAGAAGAATGAAACAGGACCCCTATCTCTTGCCATATACAAAAAGTAATTCACAATGAATAAAAGACTTAAAGGTAAGGCATGAAACCATGCAAACTCTAGAAGAAAATGTAGGAAAAACTTTTCTAGACATTGGCCTGGCAAAGAATTTATGACTAAGACCCAAAGGCAAATACAGCAACAACAAAAGTAAATAAATGGGACTTAATTAAATTAAAAAGCTTCTACATAGTGAAGGAAATAATCAACAGAGTAAATGGACAACCTATAAAAACTATATAAACTATATAAAACTTCATAAACTATACATCTGACAAAGGGCTAATATCCAGAATCTACAAAGAAGTCAAACAAATCAGCAAGAAAAAAATGAACAACCCCATTAAGAAGTGGGCAAAAGACATGAACAGAAGTTTTTCAAAAGAAGATAGATAGACAAATGGCCAAAAATCATGTGAAAAAATGCTCAATATCACTAATCATCAGGTAAATGCAAATTAAAACCACAGTGAGATGCCACCTTACCCCTGTCAGAATGGCCATTTATTAAAAAGTCCAAAAACGATAGTTGCTGCTGTGAATGCAGAGAGAAAGGAACACCTTATACACTGTTGGTGGGACTATAAATTCATACATCCTCTATGGAAAACAGTATGGAGATTCCTCAAAGAAATAAATGTAGATGTACCATTTGATCCAGCAGTCCCACTACCCAAAAGAAAAAAAGTCATTTTATCAAAAAGACACTTGCACTCGAATGTTTATCACAGCACAATTCACAGTTGCAAAGATGTGGAATCCACCTAAGGGCCCGTCAGTTCATGAGTGGATAAAGCAAATGTGGTACCATGGAGTACCACTCAGCCATAAAAATCGATGAAATAATATCTTTTGTGCAATTTAGATGGGACTGGAGACCATTATCCTAAGTGAAGTATCTCAAGAATGGAAAAACAAACACCACATGTACTCTCTAATAATTGGGAGCTAAATGATGGGCACAAAGAGATGTAAAGGACATTGGAAAACAAGAAGAGGAAAGGATCGGAAGTGTGAGGGGTGAAAACTTACCT